AGAGAGAGAGAGAGAGAGAGAGAGAGAGAGAGAGAGAGAGGGTTATTACTCTGATACCAAGGCTGGAGTGCAGTGGTGCCATCATGGCTCATGGCAGCCTCAACCTCTTAGGATCAAGTGATCCTCTTGCCTCTGCTTCCTGAGTACCTGAGACTATAGGCTTGTGCCACCACACCTGTTTAAGTGTTTAAATTATTTGTAGAGATGGAGTCTCTTTATGTTTCCCAGGCTGTTCTTGAACTCCTGGGCTCAAGTGATCTCCTTGTCATGGCCTCCCAAAGTGTGGGGATTACAGATTTCAGCCACTGTGCTTGGTCCAGTTCAATGATTTTTAGTATATTTACAGAATTATATATCACCAAAATCTAGTTTAAGCGCATTTCATCATCCCAGAAAGAAACTTGTGGCCATCAGAGTCACTTTTCAGTCTCATTCCCAGCCCTAGTCAACCAGTAAGCAGCTGCTTTCTATCTCTATATTAGGCTGTTCTGGACCTTTCATAAAAACGAAATCATGCGATGTGTGTTCTTCTACATCTGGCTTCTTTCACGAAGCATTGTGTTGTTGAGGTTGACCACTGTGGTAGCATGCCTCAGAACTCATTTTTGATTGCTGAATAGTATTCCTTCATATTGCCCACATTTGAATTCCTTCATCAGTTGATGGGCATTTGGGTTGTCTCCACTTTTTGGTTCTTGTGAGTGGTGTTGTTGTGAACATTCACCTACAAGTCTTTGTGTGAACATACATTTTCATTTTTCCTGGTTCGATACCTAGAAGTAAAGTTGCTGACTTTAAGGCAATTTGACTTTATTTTATATTATTATTTTTGTCTTGAGCCCCTTGCAGTTCTGCTAGAGAAAGCAATTTTACTTTTAACATTTTGAGAAACTGTCATATTATCTTCCAAAAAAGTGGCTGTACCATTTTATATTCCCACTGGCAGTGTATGAGGGTTCTGTTCTCCACATCCTCTCCAGCACTTGGTGTTATGTGTCTGCTTGGTTGTAGTTATTCTAGTGGGTGGAAAGGGACATCTCATTATAGATTAATTTGCATTTTCCTAGTGACTAACAATGTTGAACACTTTTTAATGTGCTTATTGGACATTAAAATATTATCTTTGGAGAAATGTTTCTTCATGTTCTTTTCCCATTTTTAATTGGATTGTCTTTTGAGTTGTAAGAGTTCTTCTGGATACATCAGTTATTAGACATATGATTTATAAATATTTTCTCCCATTCTGCCGGCTGTCTTCCCCTTTCTTGATTGTATCTTTTGATGTGCCAAAGTTTTAAATTCAGCTGATGTTCAATTTTTCATTTTCTTGCTTTTTCCCTTTCCTCCTTTTCCAGGTCTCATTAGGCAGCCCTGACTGGTCTTCAACTGTGCTTTTGATGTTGTATCTAAGACATCAGTGCCTTACACAAGATCATAAGAATTTACTCTCACGTTTTCTTCTAAGAGCTTTATTGTTTTAGTTTTACATTTAGGTCTGTGATCTGTTTTCAGTTAATTTTTGTATGGTGTTAGGCAGGGACCCAAATTAATTTATTTGTACATGAATATCCAGTTGCCTCACCACCATTTGTTGAAAAGTCTATTCGTGGTTGGAAACAGTGGTTCATGACTGTCATCCCAGCACTTTGGGAGGCCAAGGCTGGAGTATTGCTGGAGTCCAGGAGTTTAAGGCTAACATCTGCCTAATTCTTCCCCCACACCCAGCCCTGGGTAACCACCATTCTATTCTTTGCTTCTATGAGTTCAACATTTTTTCTTTTTTCCTTTTCTCTCTCTCTATTTTCTTTCTTTCTTTCTCTTTCTTTCTTCTTTCTCCTTTCTTTTTCTTTCTTTTCTTTCTTCTTTCTCTCTCTCTTTCCTTCCTTCCCTCCCTCCCTCTTTCCTTCCTTCTTTCTTTCTTTTCTTTCTTTCTCTTTCTTTCTTTATTTTCTTTCTTTCTCTCTCTCTCCTCTCTCTCTCTGCTCTCTCTCTCTTTCTTTCTTTCTTCTTTCTTTTTAATGAATCAGTTCCTAAGCAGAGTTCAACTTTTTAAGGATCCACACATGAATGACATCATGCAGTATTTATCTTTCGGTGCTCTGCTTATTTCACTTAGCATAATGTCGTCCAGTTTCATCCATGTCATCACAAATGCAACAATTTTTTTCTATTTTAAGGCTGAATAATATTCCATTGTGAATACAAAAACACATATTCCTACATTCCTCACAATTCTGTGTTAAGGCTGAATAGTATTCCATTGTGACTATAGAAATATATATTCCCGTATTCCTTAAATTTTATTGTATGCAAGGATTGTCTTTTCTCAACATCATCACCAACACGTGTTATCCTAATCCCTGTCAAAATTCCAGTGGTATTCCCCATAGAAATATAAAAAAACTGATTCTAAAACTTATATGGAAGCACGAAAGATCCTGAATAACCAAAGCAATTTTGACTGAACACAAGAACAAAGCTGGAGGAATCACACTACTTGATCTCAAAGTCATAAAGCCATAGTAGTGAAAAAAGCATGGTACTGCTACAAAGATAGACATGGTCTATCACTGGAACAAAACAGAGTCCGGAAATAAATCCATGGATTTACAATGAACGAATCTTCCACAAAAATGCCAAGAACATGCAACCCCAGAAAAGACATTCTGTTCACAAAATGCTGTTGGTAAAACCTAATATCCACAGGCAAAAGAATGAAATTGAACCTCTCTTTCACACCATACATGAAAATCAACTTGAAAAGGGTTAAATGCTTAAATGTAAGACCTGAAAAGCTTCTTGACATTGGTGTAGCAAAGATTTTACGGATAGGACCCCAAAAGCACATGGAACAGAAGCAAACATAGACAAATGGGCT